AGAGAATTGTTTTTGCATTGTTGTCCAATCCATTAAACATTTTGATTTTTCATTTTTATTTCTCTTTGCGTCAATCATAAAATTATTTAAAGGATTTTCAGTTGGCAAGACAAAAAGAAGAATGGCAACAAATATAGCAGACGTGGAGTCATTCATTGTAGAGTTATCCGGAAAGATGTCAGAAATTCCAGGCATAAATCCTGGACGTCGAAAAATCCAAAGGAATAGGAGAAGAAGAAAACAAAAAGCAACAGATTTTTGATCATAACTGTTAAGTAAAGAAGAAAAAAATGTAAATTTATACTAAGTGGGGTTTTTTGAGTTTTAACCCTCAGCAAGGTATAAAATGGAAAATATGGCGTAACTGATTTTAAAACTCGTTAAAGCTTAGAAATTTATTTTGGAAAAGTAAGGGTGAAACTACATATCACACTTCTAGTTTGCCTAATTACCTCATTGGGGGCAAACCATCACTTTGTTTCTTCAACAATATACCAACAGTTTCATCAACTTTTGGACAATTTCTAAGGAAAATAAATGTCAGTAAAATCCAACACATAAATAAACAAAAAATCATTAAAGGCACAGTTAAAACAATCCAAGAAAGATAATTTAATCCAGTTTCTATACAAGGAAATAAACTTAAGAGAATATTTATTTTAATTAAGATATAAATTTATTTTTATTTTCTCACACTGGAAGTATTCCAATAAGTACAAGATTTGATGATGTTCCAGTTGGAGTTCCAACTCCCCCAATATTTGCTGAAAAAGCAACACTGAGAACTAAAGCTTTAGCCAAATTATTATTTTTATTTGGTTTGTTTAAATTTTGTTGTTCTTCAATTTGGATAATTAAATCGCTTTTTGGTAGTATTTCATCTTGTAATAATTCATTTCTGAAAAATATTAAATAAATTTTTTTATTTGAATCAAGTTTTTGAAAGGAGGAGTATATTAAAAGTACTCTCGAAATATCTGCTAAATGTTAAATAATTTAACAGAAAGAAATATCCGCCCCCCCCCATCCCCTAACAACAGCTTCAACGCGGTATTAATACAATTGATACGATTCCTTAGCATTTCAAAATAAAAAAAAAACACACTCAATAAGGCATTTTTCACTATCACCGCCTCCCCTATTTGATTCTAAAGTTTTAGTATTTTCAAGTAAATTAATAACTGATTGACAAATTGGTAACATCATTGCTGCTGTAGCTGTATTACTTATAAACCTTTAGAAATAATTTGAAATATTTTTTCTCTAAAAATTAAGTACATGCTAAGAACAGCAGTAACTGCCATAAATCCAAACATAATTCTTTTAGGTTGGCTACCTACTAAAGAAAGAACAAAAAGTGCTACACGTAAATGTAGCCCACAACGTTCAACCGCTGTAGCAACTATTAAACCACCGATAAACAAAAATACTGTGTCCTGAAAATTTTAATAGAAAAATTGAAAATTCCAAAGTTTTGCAAAAATATTTATTTGTAAATTTACGTGGAATGTAAACAATTGTGAAAAATTATACTTACATTCATAAATTCATGTGAAACTTCTTTTGAAGTCAAAATTCCTATAAGGGGGAAAAGCACAACTGGTAACAATGCTGTTACCTTAAATAAATTCTCTACAATAATTATTTTAGAATATACTCGAGAGCAATTAAAAATCTCAAAAAATCTCACAGCTAAAGGCATTATCTCGCTCGTCCAATAAATAGCCATTAATAACACAACAAAGGCACATTTTATAGCCTAGTATTTAATAATTAAATTTACAATTTTAATTTTCAAACAAACTGGATCAGAATGTAAGAGAAGGGGTGATAAAAATAATGGAGAAAGAATAATCAATGCTGGACGGCGAAATAAAAGAATTTTTTGGATATTAATTTTTGATTTAGAAACTATTTCATCTTCTAATTTATCCATAATAACTAAAATAAATGATTGGGATATTTATGAAGAAATAAAGAAAGAGATATTTATAAGATTTATTAATTACGGGTAAATGTTAGCATTATTGCTCCAAAAAATTGAGAGAGAGAAAAATGTTTCGGAAATGATAAATTAATTTAGAATACCTAATATGGTTTTTTGTTACCCTTGAATTAGAAGATTGGGACAAAAACGGAGGAATGAATATTTAATGGTTTGTTGCTGTTATGCTTACAACAAAACTCTCCTATCTTAATCCCTAATACATCTGCCATTTTTGTGATAATTAAAATTTTTATTCGTATAAGGAATGATCAAAATTTAGGATAAAAATTTTAAGAAACATTCCCCTTCAAAGAATATATTTTCTTATTAAATTAAATTTTATATGTACCACAATTCAACAAATTGGCCAAAATAAATAAAAAATAATTTAACGAATATTTTATGTATTGACTTTCTTTTTAGAATTATTTTATTAGTTTCCATTCAATGCGCAATGTACATAAATCAAAAACTTTTTATGGGAAATGGCTGGGCTATTTTATTAATTTTTTGGTCCAAATATTTCGTTTTATTTTTATTATGAACATAAAATTGTTATATTGTGATCAGTTTATGAATTAAAATTGAATTTAATAATAAAATATTTTTTTTAGAAAATAAAACTTCCGCCTTTTTAATTTGTCAATAAATTAAACTTTTATTTAAATATTCGGTAGAACTCCAGGTTTCGGCAAATGATGGTTTCGAGATCACAAACTGGATCAGAATGCAAGAGAAGGGGATAATGTCTATCGACATTATCGAAAAAGTAAAATATTTTCTCCGTTATGTTGCAGGAAAATTTTCAATTTGAGGAAATCTTAAAATTTTCCGGAAAATTTAGAATTTTTCTAAAATTGAAATTTCCCTGCGACATATACTATAAGTAAAATATAGTCCAAAAACAACTAATTTCAAATACTTTTATCTTCCAAATTATTCACACAAAAAACAAATTTAGAAAAATATATTAGAAGGATACACACCAGAATAATGAGAAAGTTTATTTACATCGCCAGACGAAATAAGTTGAAGAAAAGAAGATCGCTCTCGATGACTATGATCACGGGCCAATGTATTTACTGGAAAAATTATTTTTAGAAATAATTTTAATTAAAAGCAAAAATAAATTTGAGTTAAATTAGGAACAACAAGGGCAAAGGTAAATATAAGAAGAAACTAGCAGAGAATAACCCAAAAGATTAAAATTTTTGTTTACTCCGTCAAAATCCCCTCCCAAAAATTTTTCCGGATTAAGGAACAATTTTTAATATTTATTATTAAATGCAAGCCTGAAGTCAGGATTTTTTTCGAAGGGGGGGGGGGCAAGGGGGGAAAATTTTTCTGCAAAAATCCACCTGGCTTCGGGCCTGATTAAATGTTAACTAAATAATTAAATTAAAAACCTTTCTCCACCAATTGAAACATCGCTCCTTGCACACTGCAAAAGGCACTCAATAAAACCAACAATTTATGATCAGAAGTCTGCTAAAAAATAAACAAAATTTAAGAAATTAATTAAGAAAAATTAACTAAATTATCCCGACTGCATTGTTCTGCAAATTTTTCACTGTGAACAGAAAGTTTGAAACAAAGTTTATTAATCTCTTTAAGAATGTAATCATCCTTTTCAATTTGTCCAAGTTGAACTGACTTAAAGAAAAATATAAAACGAAAATTTTTTAAAGAGGCATAAAAATAAGCAATTTTGACATTAATTGAGTAATTTGTTGTTAAAATATCCAAAACCAATTTGATAAGAACCGAAAATTTTTTGGAGGTTATGAGGGTTTTGTTTTATTTGAAAATAAAAAAAAACTCACTATCAAAATTGTTACTCGTAAAAATAAATTTTAGACCTAATCTTTATAGAAAAACAAAAACCTTAACATAAGCTTTAGCAACAGCAATTCCTTGAAGAAAAGTATTAATTGCTCCAAATTGTGCAGCCATTTGTTTTGAAGTAGTCGACTCAGCCGAAGCATTTGTTTTAGAATATCTAGCAACATGGTCCAATCCAATCTGTTCAGCCATTTCGCTAACAATTTTGACTGTTATTGAATGAAAAATGAGACTGTTTTCATTAACAGGGTCAACAGACGAATCAAAAACAGAAATTGAAACCTAAAGAAAAATTATTTTAATAAAATTTTTGGGGGAAGTTTCATAGAAAGCTTATTTAATAATAAAAATAAAGACAAATGTACTTAAAATAATAATCCTTCGAACGAAATGCTCTTATAGTTTCAAAAAAATTTCCAGCTAGAAACCAAGCCAAAGAAGGGAGGGTATACGAAAAGAATTTAATTGAGGAGGATATCGTTGTTCGAAAAAATAATAATAGAGATCGGTCTGGGGGGTTTCCTGTACCAAGAGTCCAGGCCAAGGCATTTTTTACCTTCCTGGCTTTTTCCTGGGCCTGGGTTTTTTCTGTGACTTTAAGCCCAGGATCCGGCCCAGGCTTTTCAAAAGTACGGATTCTAATAAATAACTCAATGAAAGTCACAATTTGAAGTTTTTATTTTTAAATTATTAAGCCAACCTTGTCAGAAATGACAGGAGCAAAGACATTAAATTTAAGAAGGAAAGGTGATTCATTGTGTTGCAAAGCCTGACGTTGCAAATAAATGTCATCTTCAATTACTCGTTCATGATCACCAGAAACATAAAAACCAAGAAATTCTAATTCAGCAAAAGTTTCTTTATCTAAAATGAAAAAAAAATAATTGGTAATTAATTGAAAATAAAGGAAGCCTGTCAAAGCACCTCACCCGTAACTACGGGACTCCTAGAAAATTTTCCCGAGTTTTTCCCATTAAAATTAAAAAATACTTACAAAGCAAATTTCGTTGAACAAAATATTCCTCGTCAAGCACTAAATGAGATTCAACAATAGAAGATTTAAGCTCAAAAGAATTCCAAATTTCAACATCCCGCCCAGACTGTTTTCCAAGAATTGCCCCACAAACCTTTAAAAATTAATTAAAAACATAAAAATTAAAAACCATTTTTGGATCATCATTTTGTACGCGAGCCCTCGTCCATTGGTCAGAAATATTTAAAACAACAACTGGATGAATTAAAGCAGAAATACTTGATAAACTATTGTCCTTTCGTTGAGTCATTTTACAAAAAATATATCTTGGATATAAAAGAAAATGTCTGTAAATGTATAAAATTTTGTGAAATGTTAAAAAATGAAAATAAGAAAAATGAAGTAAAAATTGGGTGGACGATTGTGATTATTGTCAAATACTTAAACGAAGGATGGGTTCTAGAAAAAATCACTCTGCGACAAAGTTTCCGGTTATAAAGTGGACTTGCGACAAAGTAATCGCGACAAAGTGTCCGTCCTCTCGCAGAAAGGGGACGATTCGGAGTATAATAAATAAAGTACTGTATATAAGCTGTTTTTGAAACAATCTTCTCCAAAACTATTTTGTTGGAACAACACCCACCGCCGTTGAAATATTTCCCCGTTGTAATTTTTAAACTTAACCTCAATTAAATGTCCAAAATCCATTTAAACTTTATTGTAGGTAAAAATTAAACTATTTGGAATAATTTATTTAGAGAGATTTCATTTTATTTTACTCAAAGTTAGGGTTGGGAGCCCGATTCGGCCCGGTCCGAAAGATCGAGTCGGGCATCGAATTTTGGCCGAGAAAGACTCTGTCGGGCCGGCCCGATAAAAATGAGCCCAGAAAAAATAACACAAACGTCGGCCCAACTCGAAAACCCCAACCTTACTCAACGTTAAACTCTCCACTGTTCTTGTTTAGTTATTTACATACATAGACCTTCGTTCTTCGATCAACAAAGATGCGACAAATTGTAATCAAAGCATTAACGATTTTGACCCCTCCATGTACATAGATTCTCTCGCCAAAGGAAAAAAGCAAAAACATTTTTGTTTTGTGCAAAACCGGATATTTTCTCATCTTCTTTATCCTAACTTTCAATAATTAAAATCTTTTTATCTTCCGCCCCTTCTACGCTTTCATTTTAATATCGTGAAAATGCTTCCCGGCAAGCAAATTAGGCAACAACAAAACAAATTATTTGAACACATTATTTAATTTAAAAAATAAATTAACGATGAATTTTATTTCTTTCTCAATCTTTACTCTTTTAATTGTATTAATTTTGTATTTAAATTCTGCATTTAGTTATACATATATTTCATACCATAAACCTATGAACAAAGAACAACAGGAGTCGGAGAGGGTAGGAAATAATTTTTATTCAAAGTACCTACACGTCTTAATGATAATTTTTATTTTTTAAATCTGTGGGAAAAGAGGTTCAATGAAATTTCATTTAAGAACAATACAAGAAATTATAAAACTAATTTATGTAAAAAATATTAAGATCCAGTCAATTGTAAGTAAGTGTTATCAAAATTCGTGCCGACAATGGGTATTGGAATGTCATTGGTTCTGTGATGCTATTCGAGGACTAGTACGTTTTTTATAATTTAAAACGAGATATTCAAACAATTTTATTTTTATAGAAAGACTATGAGAGATGCCTTGACTGCTTGAGAACACAAGGAATGGGTTGTTACGAATGTTTTGATCTTTAATATAAATTTAATTTTTAAATTATTTTAACAGTTTTTGTAAATAAAAATCTTTTTTTCAAATAATAATTGAATTTTTAATTGATTTTCGGTTAAAGTAAGTTAATTCGTTTAATTCCCGCCTGAATTATCGTATTATCTTTTCCAATTTAATCGTCCCCTAATAGAATAGAATGCCCGGCTCGTCTATCAGAGATCCTAGTTTTATTGCCTTTGACCATTTTTAATATTTTTGAAAGAGAAAAAAATGGGAAGAAAAAGATTTAGGTGTATAAACGCATAGCACCGAATTTTTTTAATGTGTAAAATTCATTAAAATAATTATTTATGCAAGAGTATATTTAGCTTCAGGCATTCTGCGACCTTAGTGTAAATGGTGCGCAAGAGCACGAATTAGCACACAATAGATTTTATTTAATGTAAGATTATTCTTTTTTGTTATTTCTTTGATTTAAAAAATATTTTAAGAAATTTTAGAATGAAAGTCAGTTTCTCTTAATTTTAAACTAAATTAATAACTATTAAATTTAAATGATCTAAAAGAGATTTTTAACGACCTTCCTTATGATTATTGCATATTTAGTGTTCAATATAATAGTGTCATCCGTTCGTTTTAATTCCCGCCGGGCATTAATATATGTATAAATAAAATGAGAAAATATTTTGTGTTAGGCGCCATATTTCTTCAAATCCATTGCAGAATTTTTTTGTTCAAAAAACATGTTTTCCAAAATTTTTATTATTCCATTTATTCTATTAAATATCATCAATTTTCTAATTGTACCAGTCGAATTGTTGATGAAAATAACGAAAGAACAGATTTTAGGGTTAGATGATTAATTCTAAAAAATTTTTGGGGAAATATTTTATTTTATCGAGAAAAATAAAATCGAAGGAAAAATCGAAGGACTATTACCAAATCGGTTCTGATATTTGCCGACATTGATACTCCCATAAGTAGATATATGCATTGGTATGTTAGTTCTGTATTAAAGATTTCGATTTTTATTAGAAATAGTTTTTCTGTATCGGTTTTGGAATTGTTTAACCCAGAATTAAGCGAAAAGTTAATCTAATTAATTTAGCATTTTAGGGAGCATCTAAAACCAATTCTCCATTCTCGTGCCAAACGTCAATGGCCTGGAGGATGTCAAGGTTGGGATTGTTCAAGCAGTAGTGAAAGCTATGAGGAATACAATTGGAACGGATAATAGATTTTTAAAAACACTAAATTTACATCAAAATTTAATTTATTTAAAATTTATTGAGAATAAAATAAGAATAATTCAATAAGAATTTTTTAAAAATTGTCTTTAATATATGAGTATGGAATAAATTTAAAAAATGAAACAATTAGTAAATAAAAACATTATTTAAGTAGCAAAACAATTCAACTTCATCTGTTATTTAAAAAACAAGTAGTTAAAAGTTTGAAAATGTTGAAGATAGAAGTAAATTATTTTTAAAAAATGGTTATTTCAAAATTTCTTAAATTTTTTGTTCATATGCCCATCAATAGAACCAAAAACATCTTTTAATTGTTGAAAACCTTTTGATTGATTTTCAAGCTAAAAAGTAAAATGAAATTTTAATTTTTAAAATCAAGATTGACAGAATTTGGTTAATTTCTTATTTTTAAGGGATTATGATCAACATAAAAACAGTTTTTGCCAGACTCGACTAGAAAAGCTTGAGAAAGAGAAAAATTTGAAAATAAATTTTAAAAAATTATAATTATACTTAATCCTCTTACCATTTCATTCAAATTATTATTTTCAGTTTTGATTTCATTAAATTTTGATACCAGATTTTTATTCAAAATAATTAATTCTTCAACTTTTTTCTTTTCTTCTTCTAATTCTTTTTCCTTAATTTTAATAAAACCAAGAGCGCTTTTCTTCTCTTCTTCAAGATTTTCAACTTTACTTTTAATTTTCTAAATAAAAATATTGAATTAAATTTAGAAAAGAAGGATGGGATTTTCTTAATTTTTAGACTTTGACATATCTGATCGTATCATATCAAAATGAAAACCTCAATTTCCTCCTCATATTTCAATTTTTCATTTTTTAATTTAATATTTTCTTCAAGCATAATTGCCATAGCATTTTGAGTGAGTCTTTCATAAAGTTCTTTATTTTCTTTTAATTTTTCAATTAATTTTTTATCGTTTTCATCTTTCTTTTTTTTCAAATTTTCCAATTCTTCTAAATTAATTGCAAAATTATTAATTTGAAATGCCTTCTCCTTCTCTTTAATTTGTTGTAAAGATTTAATTCTTTCTTCATCAATCCTTATGTATAAAATAAGAATTAGAAAATTAAAAAGATTTTACGTAAATTAGTTTAAAATTTACAATAAAATTTTCTAAATAAAGATTAACTAAAAACTAATTGACATAAAATTGAGGTACTTTTCCGTTATCCCTACGACTTTTTTGCGGGCATTTTTCCTTTTTTTGCGGAGAAAAATATCTGGTTGGCTCTATTTGGTTCTTACTTAATGCTTTTTGTTGGTTTACTTATTGGCTCGCTTATTTCAATTATTGTTGGAGTTATTTAATTGGGAAAATAAACATATATTTAAACTAGAGTTCGAACCCGGGCCGGGCCCGGACCGGTTTTTTCCGGGCCCGGTGGCCCGGAACCGGGTATTTTTGAGAAAATCCGGTTTTTCCGGGCTAACCGGTTTTTCCGGTTTTATCCGGAAAAACCGGCCCGGGTGCGATTTTGAGTAAAAAACCGGGTCCCGGGCCCGGTAATTTTTTGCCGGGCCCGGAGAGTCGCCTCCGGCGGTGAAAAAGGAAGAAATCTGGCCTCTAGGCCTTTCGAAATTCTCAAAATTTTCGCCTGCGGCGCTGAAAAAAGAAGAAATTTTGCTCCGTGGCCTTCCAAAATTCTCAAAATTTTCGCCTGTGGCGCTAGAAAAAGAAAAGGGATTTTTATTGTTATCAGGGAATTAACTCAAATTCTCTCAATATCCCTATTAATCACCATCAGTGGATTTAAGTGAAATTCGGATTTGAACAGGAAATCGGAGGATTAAGGGGGATAATATTATATTTGGAATTACTATGAATCCCTTCAAATTCATAATCTTCTATATCCCTCCAAATCACTGATATCACATGGAGGCTTTCCAAATACTTCAAATCCACTTATTTTCTCAGACTACAAATTATTTCAAAAATTGCGGATTAAGGACTGCGGATTTTAAAATTAAAATTTCGGCTGCGGAAAATTTTTTTCACTTGCGGACACCCCTGATATATCCTTTAGCGCATCTATCCTTTGATTCAGCTATCCTTTAATCGATCCTTTGTATGTTTTCCGATCCTTTGTATGTGTGATAATTTTTTATGTTTTTAATAAATTTAGAAAAAACCGGGTCCGGGCCCGGGTCTGAAAAAATCCGGTTTTTCCGGGCTAACCGGTTTTTCCGGTTTTATCCGGAAAACCCGGTCCGGGTGCGATTTTGAGAAAAAAAACCGGGTCCCGGGCCCGGCATTTTGAAAAGTTCGAACTCTAATTTAAGCTTGATTGGAAGTTTTTTGTTGGAACTAAGTCTGAGACTTTTGTTTAGATTTGTCCCTAGGCTTTTACTACAGTAGGTTCGAAAAAAACTTACTTAACTCCATGTGGTGGGTCTGCTTTTATATCAACAAAAAGAACGATAGTATCCGCTTTGCTATCATACCAGCCTTCTTCAGGGTTCATAATATCCTAAAATTAAAAAGAAAATTTAATCAAAAATCCTTAATGATTACTTCAAATGTCATAAACTGTGGGAAACCCCAATTGAGCTCTTTTGCACTGAATACATGGGTTACTTTACGAACATAATTTTCTTTCCCTGGTTTTTGTGCAAGAATTTTAAGAGTAGCTTTAGCAGAACAACTCCAAGAAGGATCTAAAATTGAACATAAAATAAATATTGCCAGC